TGTTTCGTTGTGAAAGCGAAACTACTTTGTTTGGCCTTCCAAAAGAGGACGATATCTGCTTCGTCATGCCTAGAGCTGATCCGTGCTGGTCGCTTTGGAAATACGTCAACTTTGCGCTGTGGATCGCCGGATCGGCTTTCACCGTGGACGAAGTGGAGTCCAGCCCGGGGTCGTCACATCCGCCACTCCTTCGTCGAATCCGCCGGCCGTGCCGTTCTCAAGCCCGCCGGCCGTTCCTCACTCTAGAACGCCGGCCTCCGCTCACTCAAGAAAAAAAAACTGGTTTCAACACCGATAATAATAAGAAATGTTTCTTAAGCACTAAATCAGCATCTTAGAATGATTTCTGAAGGATCATGTGAGACTGGAGTAATGATGCTGAAAATTCAGCTCTGCCATTACAGAAATAAATTACATTTTAAAATCCATAAAATAGAAAGCAGTTGTTTTAAATTGTAATAATATTTCACAATATTACAGTTTTTTACTGTATTTTTAATCAAATAAATGCAGCCTTGGTGAGAGTATGAATTATTTCAAACTTCCTAGATTGGTAGAATAGTTGTTGAGCTTGCTTTCTGCTTGTGTTGCTTGAGCTGCAAGCAACAGTTTGTCTTCCATCCTTATTGATTTTCAGCACTGAAAACCACTTATGGCCCCTTTTTCTTCCCTGCATCTACAACTCTCTCTCTCTCTTTTCTCCTTGGATTCATGTTATAAGGATCCTTTGTGTGCATCCCTTTTGCTTAAGCCCAATGGGTTATGGGACACCCCCTGTGGTGCGAGGTGACCCCCGATTTGGGGGCCTCCTTACACCATTATGAGTGTATTAATTTTTTTGTTTTGTTAAATTTGTCTGGAGCAGACATTTTTACACAGACTATAAATGTGTTTACACCGAAATCACAGTCACAGTTAACAATGTACCACGTGCTAGAATATTGTTTTATAATTGCATGTATCACGGCGATGCATGCTTATTGACATGAAAGTGTCTCTCTACAAGAGGCTTTTCAAGCCCAACCGCTTTGCTGTGAGGCAGAGGAAAGTTTTAAGTATCAAGCTTCATTTTCAAAAAGCTGTCTAGAAACATGAACTAAAAAAAAAATTTATCATAGAAAATAATAAAGAAAGAAATGATAAATCCCCCCCCCATTTAAGGGGTGGTATAATCAACTAGATAAAACGTGTGTCAGCGGTTTTAAAGGAATAATTTTGCATTTATAATTCATTGTATCTGATCAATTTAATATTTTTTTTTTTTAAAGAGAGAGGGGAATAAAGTTGTTACTTTTAAAGACGGGAGGAAAATAAAAATGGGGACCCTGATGGAGGCACAGAGCCAGCCACAATGGAACGGATGGACAGTCCCTGTACATCTGCTGTAGAGCTTTATGCTGCTGAAAAGGTCCTGGGATCCTTAACCCAATGTCACAGTTTATGATCTGCTGAAGCACAGCCTTTTCTCGCATACTAGCACAAGCTTGCACACTTTAAGTGCAGCCAGTATGATTGGCATGTGAAAGTGGACATGGCCATCTGTTGCTGTGTCTGCAGCGTTGAGAAGAGGCGCAGTAATATCTGGCCAGACTCTATTGAACTGAGATATGTAGTATTAAATAACATTATTTCAATAGTCACGATCAATGCTGAATCATTTACTTACTGATGTATGTGATGAGAGAGGGTTTTTTGTGATATCAGACTGCAGGACAAATTGAACTTGAAAAATGCCCCTTTTTTAGCAGTACAAAATGTGTCTGAGTAGAAAAATATGACAATGGTCCAGTGTCAGTTTATTGTGGACAGCCTTGTTAAGGGCTTTATTTAATCATTAGTGTTGTTTTTGGCGGCCTGTTTTAATTTTAGTTTTAGTCTAGTCTTTGTGTGAAACTGTCATTTTAGTTTTTATTAGTTTTAGAATAATAATAATAACGCGAGTAAACGAGACGAAATAACGTTATAACATTTCGTTTCGTCTAGTTTTGGTCAATGAAAATGAAGAGACATTTTAGCATAGTTTTTATTTTGTAAACCACATTTAGTCTCGTTTTTATTCGTCAACGATATTGCATTATACATTTAATTATAGTCATCGTCACATGACCAGCATTTTCGTCTCGTCTCGTCTCGTTTTCGTCACGTAATAAAGGTTCGTTGACGACGATATTTAGTCATAATTTTCGTTGACGAAAGCAACACTAAGTATCATGCCGTGTTAATTTTTTTTTTTTTTTGATCAAATAAATGCAGCTTTGGTGAGCATAGGAGACTTCTTAAAAAAAACATTACAAAATTTTACTGACCCCAAACTTTTGAATCGTAGTGTGTATTCATTACACTTGCTGCATAGTCAAGCTACAAACGTTCAAATGCAAAATGAACTAATTTTGTGCTAATTTGATTGATTTTGTTGTTATTTTATTCTCTGGCCCCAGAACATACCACACCTTCTAAAAGCAGCCCCTGAGATACATAATTTGAGTGTCCCTGCCTTACAGCGTATGTGCCGCTCACATGCAGTTAAATACATAAACCCATAATACATGTCTTTATCATTAGCTTGACTGTATAATTCAGTGAAATGACTTCTTACAAACAGCAACAGAAAAGCATGGCAAATAGTTGTCTATTCATCTGTTACCAAAAGACATTGTTTCATTCAGGTGCAAAGAACTGAAAGGGAATGACTGTGATTGAGGCATAGAGCTGGTTAAGTGAGTTCAGACACAATGAAGGATGAACAAAGCATGTTGTTGTCTATAATTTGACTGAAGTTACATATTTGCAAAATCGTGCAACATGTAAAATGGACATAATTAAAAAAAAATCTACTATTTGTATTTCAGTAGTGTTTTTTTTCTATTTGAAGATCGTCTCTAGGTTACGTATGTAACCATGGTTCCCCGAGGGAACGAGACGCTGCGTCGAGATCGCTTTGGGAACGCCCTTGCGTGACCGCGTTCTGAAGCACGTGTCAAATCCGTCCAATGGAGCAGCGAGACGTCACGAGCGGGGTGACGTCAGCACCAGAAAGCATAAAAGCGCATCCGGCAGAGCGCAAACCAGCTTCGGAGGAGGAACACGTTCTATGGCCCCCTTCCTCAAGAGAGTATCTACTTCTTGTTCCATTACCAGAGCCTGCTCGGGGCCCACTAGTGTGGGGATGACCCCGTTGAAACGAGGCGGACGAGAACCGAACTGGACTCTGTAACCTTTCTCTACAATCTGCAGGACCCATTTTGAGATATTTGGTAGAAGTTTCCACGCTACCAGAAAATCTACTAAGGGAACCAGCCTCTCGAGGCTGGCCTCTGGTATTATTAGAGGAGCCAGTTCGGTGCCCTGAAGCGGATGACCGGCAGGGAACGACCGACCTGACTGCTGTAGCACCCTCACTTGAGGGGGCGAGCTCTCCCGTGCCGTACCGTTGCCGGGCGGCAGCTGGGAATTTCACTCGTCGGAGCTCACTGAGCGCTGAAGCACCGAGGTGGCAGGGGTATCAATGAACCTCCGTGAGGGCACTGAAGGAACAACCGACCTGACTGCTGTAGCACCCTCACTTGAGGGGGCGAGCTCTCCCGTGCCGTACCGTTGCCGGGCGGCAGCTGGGATTTTCGCTCGTCGGAGCTCACTGAGCCCTGAAGCACCGAGGGTGGCAGGGGTATCAATAAGCCTCCGTGAGGGCACTGAGGAGGATTGGGCACCGTATACTGAGGTGTTATCCTTTCCTCTCCAGGTGGGCTGCCCTCAGGGACCTGACAATGGTAGGACCATTTCGCCGAGGTCCTCTTAGACAAATAACGGTCCGCAGATCCGTTTTCGGTCTAGAAGACCCCAACTGAGAGCATCGCCCCGACCCCCGATCTTTCTGTGGGGGGGTGCGGGTTGCAACGCTCTGTTTTTGAGACTGGCGATATGAGGAGCTTGATGGCTTGGGCTGCTGCCGCTCAGCAGCCCCACCCCTGAGCAGGTCAGCCTGGTATGCTTGTAACACCGCCATGGTGTGCAAACATGCGCCAGCCTGACCTACCGCCGTATAAGCTTTCCCAACCAGACTCGATGTAAGCCTAACGGGCCTGGTGGGAAGCTTCGGGGCCTTCAGGGACGATGCTGAGGATGGGGAGAGATAGCTCGCAAGCGTCTGCTCCACCACTGGCATCGCCCCATATACCTTATCATTCAGCCCCACGATGTTCTTTTGAATAATTCGAGACTGTGGGGCTGTAATACGTTTTGGATGAGTACGGTTTCTCCCACGATCTTGACACCTCAGCATGGAGATCGGGGAAAACGGAAGGCCCCCGTCGTGAAGGCTGTGATCTGGATTCAGAACATGCTCGTCTAATTATTTTTAGGACGAGCGTCCTGTTTCTAGGCTGGCCAAACGATATTTTATTTTGGCGAATGCACGAAACACACCCCATAATCACGAATCACACCTCATACGCGAGGGACTGTGGTGGCGAGTCCACAGTCTCCTCTGTCTCGACACTCATCACATCCACCTCCTCGTTGGAAGATAGATGAAGCGTCTGGCTCTCTCTCTCTGGGGGGGGGAAGAAACCGCAGCGCGGGCTTCCGAACCCTGAGAGAGAGCCGTGGATCTAGCGGGTGAGGACCGAGAAAAGGCCGAGCCCGTCTCGGATCCCTCCGCTAAATCCACCCGCGATCCCCACGACAACAGTCTGCGCTGTGCCTCGGCAACAGCGGGACCGCTGCCAGCGGGATCGCGAGCCTGGCCGTTCTCATCAAACACAGCCAGGCGAGAGCGGAGCATACGCAGCGAGAGCTCGCAGTGATGACAATCAGCTGCTCGAAAGCTGACCGTGCATGCTTCGCTCCTAAACAAACGACACACAAATCGTGTGTATCCCCCGCCGCCAGATATCGTGGGCAGGGAGAAACACAGCGTTTGTAATGCCGTTCGCTCGCCATAGACTTTCTCATTGTTTTATATATATGAGTGCTTGTGTGGACAGACAACAGTAAATAGACAGACACATACACAGAGCGCTACTGAAGAGCAGAAGCTGGTTTGCGCCCGGCCGGATGCGCTTTTATGCTTTCTGGTGCTGACGTCACCCCGCTCGTGACGTCTCGCTGCTCCATTGGACGGATTTGACACGTGCTTCAGAACTCGGTCACGCAAGGGCGTTCCCAAAGCGATCTCGACGCAGCTCGAGTTCCTGAAGGGGAACTGGTTGTTACTAGTTGTTTTAGTAGTTTTGTCTTTTTTGCTTTTAGAACTAGGTATATTCCCAGTTCTCTTCTTATGCTAAAGTTCACGCCTCAGTGGGTCTTTTGTGTTCAACAGCTCTTTGCTTTATGCTCAAATCTATTTATTCCAATGGGTTTTTGCTTACTCTTTGTGTGTCCCAGCACTTTGTCATAAATTCCTAAATGTATCTCATGCATTAGCTAAATGGATGTTGCGTGCATTGCCCTAGTTACTGCTTTAAATTTGATTGAAGAATTCTTAAACCCTCCAGATCCTGATCTGATCTAGAAAGAGTGTAGAACCATTTCTGTTCTGATGAATGGGTTTAAATTCAAACATGTGCAAAACACAACAACAGGCATTCAGTGGGTATAATGGAGGATTGAATGCTGACATTTGAGACATTGTGCCATTATTATCCTGCTCTCCTATAATACCAGCTGGATGCCTTTGATATGCAGTATTGTTCTGATACTTATAAAAGAAGTAGAATTAAGGCTACTGATGATCAAATGAAAGTTACATGCATAACATGTTGACTGGCTGCCTCTCTTGTAAGAAAATTTTTTTTTAAAGGCATACTCCACCCAAAAATGAAAAGTCTCTAATCATTTACTCACCCTCATGCTCTCCCAGATGCATGAATTCTTTCTTCAGATGAACACAAGTACACAATCCTCTTAACTGGTTCATTATATCTATTTTATAATAATTGATTTATAACCCTACCGTTTACCTCCTCAGGTACGTTAAGACCAGTGCGACGGAGTTTCTATGACCCCAACTCAGCACCAGGCCAAGGTTGGATATGGGAGTGGGAAAATGACGCAGGTTCCTGGACGACCTATGACATGGAGGTTAGCATTGCCTTGCAAGCGGCATGGGACCGACGGCAACCCTGGCTGGACCTGACATCGATTGGCTTTTGCTACTTTGTGGACTTCCAGACCATGACCCAGATTAACAGGCAAACACAGCGGCAGAGGCGCATGCAGAGACGCTCCGATAGGGTTTACCCACTGGTCTCCGGGCCACTGCCTAAAACCTCACAGGCTCGGGGTACAGGCTCAGGAACTGGAGGCATGACTAGAGGAGTTACATCACGTGGGGGCTCAACCGGGGCACTTCTTGGGGTTGGTGTTTCTGGTTCTACTTTGAGTAGAAAAGGAAGTGCGGTTTACCAAAGCGGGACACTTTCGATGTCATCTCTCACTCCTCCTGGACAGCCATGTTACTGTCAGCAGTGCATGCTGGTGTTGAGTGTAAAGGCACAGACACTGGGACGTGCAACAAAGCCAAACAGTCCTAAATTCAGCTTTGGGACACTTCCATCCTCCTCTGCATCCATGTCTGTTTTAAACTCGTATTCTCATACACTACCACAGGGCACATCTTTAAAATGCTCTCTCTCGGAAGAAGCCAAGAATTCTGCTTTTGATCAGTCATTGTCCCTTCTCACGTTGGATACTGCCAATCTCTCAGTCTCCTCTAGCCGTTCACCGCCTCTAACTCTGCCATCGCCGAATCAGCAGCCTTCATCCGCCCCAAGCTCTTCGTCTTCAGCAACATTTGTGGCTACTGCCATGCTTATTAACACATCAATCAGTCCCAGATCATCCACAGATTTGACGTCATCTTCAACAACGATGCCCTCTCAGCGCTCCGCTGCCTGTGCTGCCCTTCTACCAACTCGTGCCAGTCTGACAGGGCTTAGTCGGCCTGCTTTGCACAGAATTGCCATGGCACAGTCACAGGCCCTTATTGCCTCTGGGTGAGAAAAAAACATTTTATCTTTTTCTTTCAATTTCCCCCAGTATACATTATAGTTCATGTCGTTATATTATGATTTAAATGTATAATATACAATATCGTTCAAAGTTTGGGGTCAAATTCCATTTTAAAATATATTTAAATACAATTTTATATCAATTTTTCTAATAATATTTCACAATATTTTAGTTTTTACTGTATTCTGATCCCAAGCTTTTAAACTGTAGTGTATATTTATTACATTATAAGGTTATACAATATTAATATACCAATGTTATATTTGCATATAATATTATATATTATTTGGACACTTAAGCCACACTTAATGTGATGTATGAATGTCACTGCATTAGATAACAAAATATAAAATATGGGTGGTATTTATTTTAAAGAAAGATACAAGCACAGTTTACAAGAAAAACATTGGGTTTAATAATAATAATTATTAATAAAATAATAAATAAACTGTTCATAATTAACAAATTGAGCACTTTTTGGATGCTATCGACATGTTCTACTCGCATCCAGAATCCAGACAACTGACAAAGAATATTAACATGTGCTTACTCTGCTCAGAAACATTTGTGAACTTCAGGAAACAGACTTTGTCGACTAAAATCACCGGCATATATAGTATAGTGTTAATAGGTGTGAGTTCAACTCATGTATTAGTGTGTTCTTGTATTTTACCCTCCTCTATGTGGGAGTGTGTTTCTCACGTTTCTCACACCGCTAAATCATCCATGTCTGCTCTGTTTGATGACCATCTGGGGACAGAATGGTCTTATTCATTCCCTCCCCACCCCCTTTATGTATATAGCTGTTTCTCTGGCTTTTCCCGCGGCTCTCAGTGGTGATTTCATGTTCACGCTGGGTTTCTGCAGCAACCTTTGTTGACATGACATGGGCTGGTCTGCATTAGCAACACAATGCTGTCTCACTGAAGCATTTGACATAGTAGAGTGTGTGTCCATGTCTACGTTAAGAAGGATTTGGGGTAACGAGCAAAAGGTTTTGACATTGACTGTTGTAACAATTGTGTCCCAGTGTTTTCCTGAAGCATTAGACATGACATTTTTCTTGATGGGGGTTTGGGATGTAGCTTGAGTGGATTGAAGCTGGGATAGAACTGGAGTATTTTTACTCGTTTGTGGCTAATTTTGATGTTACAGAGTATGTACTGCTAAAGACAGCGGATCGATATATTAATCAATAAAAATTTGAACTAGGCTAGATTATAAAGCAAATACAAGTAAAACTATCATCTAACAACTGGTGTTACATACATGTGTGTGTGCTTTCAAATGCAGGAGAACACTGTGAGTCTGCTCTTTCTAAAGTACCTCCTGTTTTAGACATAAAGCCATCTGGAGGCATAGTGCAGCAGTTGTTGAGCATGTTTGTGAGAGAAAACAGAGACAAGTCTGTTGTAAAGCAAGATCAAGGGTCAGTGAAGGTCAAAAGCTTCCCCATTGGCCTTTCCCAAACAGCCATCTACCCTCCAATGTCAGGCACTTCTGTTATTTCAATGGAAAACAAAACAGGCATATAAATAACAACTACTGCTGCAGTATTTATGATTGGCTAAAATGCATTTTAGCCAATCATAATCTGTTGATCTGTCATCATTTTAAGCAAACATGCGACATGTCCTTCTTTTACCACTTAACCACTTCAGCATATTTGCTTCAGTTTTCACTTTCGTGTGAATAACATCATGTTGCAAATAAAGTGTGCTGCCAACAGAACGTCTGTTCAAGAGAGAGAAAAAAATGTGGCAGTAAACAAATTATTTATCAGTGTCAAAAAAACGTTTCTATTCTCATTTGTAGTGGAATTTTTCATTTATATCATTGTGAAATTGTTGATTTCAGATTCACCTGTCCCTAAATGTCACATCACAGCTCTTTTTTTTTTTCTGTCAACCTTTGTTGTCATCAGCAAAGTATTGTTATTTGAGTTTCGGAAGGAAAAGAGCAAGACAATGAGGAAATGTAACCATAAACGGAGGCATTGCTATTTAGGTCAGCTGCTATGTACCTGTTGACAATAAAATGTCTGAAAATGTCTAAATAGACTGTTACACTTGAAATTTAGCATTTCAAATATAATTCCAAATAATGCATTTTACATTTCTATGCACAGGCAAATAAGAGTTTTGTTTAGAATATGCTTTTAGATAAACTCTTGCCTGTAGATCTCTTGATTTCTTTTAAATTGATGACTGTTCACTGTGAAGTGAAATCTGATTCGTTGCCTGATGACTTTGTAGTGAACATTGACTGTTAATCTCAAAATATTCAACGTTTTCTGACTGCAGACTTTTAAAGCCGTGCTTGTGTGCATTTTAAAGTGTATATATATATATATAATCGTAAGACCCATGAACATCATAATGTAATTGTCTGTGGCCTTTATTAAATGTATGTTCTGTAACTGTAAATGAATTGTTGAGGTTAGTCACCAACCATCTGGAATATAAAGTATAATACTTAATATCTGACAGCAAGATCAGTATATGCATGACATGCAGACTCAGCAACAGCTGCTACATTCATACACATTTTTCTAAATGTATTTATGTATAGAAAAATCCTTTTTTAAGACTAGCAGCTTACAGACTGCAGTAAAACGAGATAAGAAAATAAGTGTGAGAAAACGCAGCAGACAAGACCATTGAGGGTGTAAAGAGGGAAGTAAAAGGACTGTACATTAGAGTTTTTTTTTTTTTGACAACAAAACTTGCTGTGAGATGCGTTTGGTATTTTGTTCTTCATTTTTCACACTGATTTGACCAAAAATGTGCTTATATAATGGTAAATAGTCATTTGATACTTAGCCAAAAGTGTCAAAATGCACTTTCAGTTAAGTATCATATAACTGTTGAAGTTGGAGGCAAAACAATGGTTTATGTGCACGTTAGTCGTTGAACAATTGAAATGTATTAGTTATCTATTTTAGTTCAAGTTACAGTTGTAGTAATGTTGTCATTTTATTAGTTTTTTTTATTATGTCTATGGTTTTTTTTATTAAGTTTTAGTTTTATTTAATTTGAGTTATTTCAGTACTTCAACATACAAAATGGAAATGAAATAATATATATATATATTGAATGTATTTATATATATATGTACATGTATATGTGTGTGACTGTACATACACATATGTAGTTGTTTTTTGGTGTTTGGCTTAGTGTTATGTTAGAATCATTATTATACTTTATTTATTTTGTTTTCATTTAAATGTTTAGTTTTGAAATGTTGTATGCATTTGTCATTTTTATTGAATTTATTTTATTTTCTTAAATGTGTATATATATATATATATAGTATTTATAGAGTTTTAGCTTTTAGTTTTAATTACTTTTTCTTATTTGTAAGTCGCTTTGGATAAAAGCGTCTGCTAAATGACTAAAAGTAAAAGTAAAAGTAACAAGAACTACATGTTGAACTCTAGAAATTCAATATAGGTTGCTGAGAAAATTCTTGGTAATGAAGAAATTGGTAGAATATCTGTGTCCTAGTTTTATGCAACATTATCATGATATCTATAGAAATTTAGAGTCAAATTCATCTTTAACTTTATTTTGTGTTTTCTCTTATGGCCAATGAAATACACTCAAAATACGAGTGTGTGGAAGTTTTTTTTTTAAAAATTTTTTATGTAGGGTGGCAACCAATAAGGCAATACTGCCACCTACTATGTTGGAGCATCAACCAGATACCAGTTACCTGCGCTGTATATTATCAAATGTGTAGTGTTAACACAATATAAGTATTTTATATTTTAAATATCACAGTATATTGCAACACCCCTACACTAAAAGATCTTCAGCTTCAAGAGGGAAAAATACTGCAGTTTTTTGGCAATGTAGGAGAACATTCAGCAAGACAAGCAGCCAGTTTGTCCATTGGCCTTATAGAGCTTTTTTTTTCGCCTAGGGTACCGACAGTACCAGTGAAGAATCTCAATGGCTCCAGCCCTGTCCATCCGGCTTTAGCTGGTAGGAAAATAAAACACATTCCTAATACATTTTCAGAAATGATAAACTAACTGTACATTACATATTCTAGTTTATACATTGTAATTTGTTAATACATATGCATTATGATGCACTGCAGGTATTACAGGTATTCTGATGAGTGCAGCAGGACTACCTGTATGTTTGACCCGTCCACCAAAACTAGTTCTGCATCCCCCACCTGTCGGCAAGAGTGACATCAGACCAATTCCTGGCATTGGGCACTGTTGCCGCAAGACCACCAAGAAACAAGCACGCAAAGGTAAGAATTCATGGGTATTTGTACTTCTAGACAAATTCACAGATAAATACATTGTACTGCAGTGTTGCTGCATAATTTTGTTTCTGAAAGTTGCTACTGAGGAAGCGATGACTAAAGTCCTTAAGTAAGGTTGCACTTTATCAATTCATGCCAAAATACATTGTGGTGAGTCATAAATAAAGTCATAAAAACACAGAAACATAAATGCAGCAGCCACCAATCACTACCAGCTGTCGCCATCGATGGCCATTCAACAGGTTTATATACACACCAAATGAAATTTGAACGAAATTTGAAATCTAACATAAGTGATTTGTTTTCCAGGTAGAACACCCGAGGAAGTGGTAAAAAGGTACTTACAGAAGGTCAGGAATCCACCAGAAGAAGTAAGACATCATTGTTACTTTAAAATAAGTGTTAAGATAAGTGGGTTTTTTTTTTATTAAAATAATTGTATTTTTATTGTGCAAAATATTTCTACAGTATTTTTAATACAAATTGATATAAAATTTAACAAAACCTTACAGGTTTCATAATTTTCAATATTACCAGATAACAAATTAACTCAAATTAATTAACAAATTATACAACTACTGTAAGTCGATCCCACCTTACCCAGATACATACAGTACACTCAAAACGGTATGTACTGTATTGCAATCTTGACTGCTTGATTGTTGTGTTGTTGAAAAATGTAAAATATATTAGCGCTCAGTAATATATTGAAAGTTAGATATATAGTACATCCTACTTTACCTGCATACATAGAGTATAAGCAATATGTACTATATAGCATCTCAGCTACGTGATTGTTTCTGTTGTCGCAAATTTGTAAACTGTGTTATCATGCATCTCTATATATAAAGTTGGATACAACTTTATCTGCATACAGTACACTCACATTAAGCTAACTGTACTGTATAGCAAATCTAAACGGCTTGATTTTATTTCATCACAAAATGTAATTGTATATCATTCAGCTCTTTATATAAAGTTGGATATAGAAATATCTGCATACATAAAGTACACTTGCATAGGGTGATATATAGTATTTAGTAAATCTCAACTGCTTGATTGCTTGTGCTGTCGCAAAATGTAAGCTTTATTATCATCCAGCTCTAATCTGCTAAATGCATGAAGATATTAAAACTTTATAAACATTAACATCATGATTTTCTATGAAGCTGCTTTGAAACAATGTGTATTATAATTTATAATTTATAATTTATGCATTTAGCAGACGCTTTTATCCAAAAACACTGAGTGTTACATTTTTTACCAGTATGTGTGTTCCCTGGGAATTGAACCCACGACCTTTTGCGCTGCTAACACAATGCTCTACCACTGAGCCACAGGAACACTATTATTACTATTATTATTATTATGAAAAGCGCTATACAAATAAAACGGACTTGACTTGATGAGAGCCAGCTAAATTGGGTTGCAGTATATGTCAACCTCAAAAACCTTTAACAAACTATCCAAGGTAAATAAAAAAAATTAGATATGGCTTAATATGCAACATTAGATATGGGTTTATATGCAACCAGTATAAACATTTTTGCGCTGACTACAATGTCTTTTGTATGGTAATTTATTGGCTGCCAAAACCATTAAAATTCAAGAGACATTTAGAAACAAAACACTCAAATTAAAAAGACAAGACATTCTGGCCATAGCATCACTGGTTAGATGTAAATGTTGCATCTTATTGGCTATGATGTAAAAAAAAAAAAAAGCATTTCTTAACACTTTATATCTACGTGATAGCTAATTTTTTTTGTGTGTGTGTAGTTTGTGTTATATCAGTATTCTGTATTTCATTTCAGGATTGTACTATCTGTATGGAGGCTCTGGGGGGACCCTCAGGGTATAAGGGTCCAGGTGTTGCAAGTGTTTCGCGTGCAGAGTCCGTTGGACGACTGGCACAATGTGGGCATCTTTATCACCTGCAGTGCCTAGTGGCCATGTACAACAATGGCAACAAAGATGGCAGCCTGCAGTGTCCCACATGCAAGACAATATATGGAGTAAAGACAGGCAACCAGCCGCCCGGTAAAATGGAGTACCATGTCATCCCGCACTCACTTCCAGGACACCCAGACTGCAAAACCATTCGCATCATCTACAACATACCGCCTGGGATACAGGTATAACTATATCATATGGTATATAAAGCTATGTTCTATAAAAAACAGTCAGATTATAGTCCATTTTCAGTGCATCTTGGTTGTGTTTACACTTGGACTCCACACAATCATTATTATATTTAATAGAAAATCTCCTCTCCCATCTCTCCCAAGGGTCCTGAGCATCCAAATCCGGGGAAGCCTTTTACTGCAAGAGGATTTCCCCGTCACTGCTATCTCCCAGACAATGAAAAAGGACGCAAGGTAAGTCCTCTCATCATGTGTTCAAAACTACTGCTCCCAATTTTGGGGTTGGTTTTTGTTTTTTAAATCTCTTATGCTCACCCAGGCTTTATTTATTTGATCAAAAATATAGTAAAAACTGTAATATTGTGAAATATTATTGGATTTTTGTTCTCTGTGATGAATTTCTGAATTTTCTGAATTTTCAGCAGCCATTATTCTAGTCTTTTAAATTATTCAAATTATTCTAATATGTGACCCTGGTCCACAAAACCAGTCATAAGGGTCAATTTTTTGAAATTGAGATTTATACATCATCTGAAAGCTGAATAAATAAGCTTTCCATTGATGTATGGTTTGTTATGATAGGACAATATTTGGTCGAGATACAACTATTTGAAAATCTGGAATCTGAGGGTGCAAAAAAATCAAAATAGAAAAAGTAAAAAAGTTTTTATATATTTACGGTACGAAATTTACAAAATATCTTCATGGAACATGATCTTTACTTAATATCCTAATGATTTTTGGCATAAAAGAAAAATCAATAATTTTGACCCATACAATGTTTTTTTGGCTATTGCTAAAAATATACCCCAGCGACTTAAGACTGGTTTTCTGGTCCAGGGTCACATATGCTGTTTTGATGCTCAAAAAACTTGTCTTATTATTATCAATGTTGAAAACAGTTGTGCTGCTTAATAATTTTTTGGAAACCATGATATTTTTTTCTTTGATTTAATAGAAAGTTCAAAGAACAGCATTTGTTTGAAATATACATTTTTTGTGACAATGTAAGTGTTTGTCACTTTTGTTCAATTGAATGCATACTTGGTAAATAAAATAATTAAATAATAATATTTTTTTTTTTTAAATCTTATTGACTCAAAACTTTTGAATAGTCATGCATTTTTCTGTTTTACATCAGTGAATCATTTGGAAGGATTGTTTTGTTTCTTTGGCCACTATACACTTCTGTCTCTAAGGTTAAACTTCAGGTATATTTACATCAGAGTATTGCAAAGTGGTATTGCTGTTAAAACATGTGTCAGCACATCTATTCACCAAATGTACCAAAGAGGGTATGAGAACACATTTAGATTTAATGTATTTGTAATTATTATTATTCTTTTAATGATATAATAATTGAAAATATTCTTTTCAATATATTGTCTGGTTTTTAGGTGTTAAGGATGTTATTGGTGGCATGGGATCGACGGCTGATCTTCTCAGTGGGCACCTCCAGCACCACAGGAGAATCAGACACTGTCATCTGGAATGAGATCCATCACAAGACAGAATTTGGCTCCAATCTTACTGCACATGGCTATCCAGATTATGGCTATATTGACAATGTACTGGAGGAGCTTAAAGCCCAGGGCATCACTGAAGACGAGGAACAGCAACTGTGAAGAGGACGGGATGTGCTCGATGGCAGTGAAAGAAAAATAACTGTACTAGATGTTCTAGGAGTGCATTTGAACTCAGAAATGTGTGAGGATTCATATGAAATCGATAACTCTGATGAAAACAATGTGACCAATTGGTACAAATAACTATGTAAATGAGGTACAAGTCAGCAAGTATCCTAATCTCAATACAAATTTGGGGATGAAGTAACACAACTAACATGAGAATGATATTTGGTTAAAGGTGAAAGATAGGTTTGAAAGAAAAAGGAAAGAAAGGAACGTATGAAAAGCAAGAATGGGAGGTGGAGGGGACTCGAAAAATAAGGGAATAGAAAGACTAAGAAAATGCAGGTTATTGAAGCAGCCGACGTGTTTTATCTGCTTAAGCGATGTTGCGGTGTAAGTTGTGTAAAACAGTTGTAAGTGTGGTTGTATTTAATCAACTCTGGTACCTCTAACTGGATTACTTGCTCTGAATCTGTTTACTAGAACTGAAAAGTATATAGCGCATATGAATGCTTGTATTATAATTTGTATTAATTCCATGTATTCAGTCTTGTGTATTGAGAACTTGTACTATTTTTGTACAGATGATAATGTGTACATAAAATTCAGAGTTTTGATTAATCAAAAATTTTTTATATTAACTTGATTTTAAAATGAAAATCACTTTTATGGAAACACTGAATTAATTTATGCTGGTTTATATGAAGCATAAGAAAACCAACTAATTGTTCTTCCTCAGATGAGATGTCTCTAATGCATCTAATAGTTACAGATGATAAAATATCACATTTTCACGGTACAGGAAACCAATTTGGTGGTTTAAGCTAAGAAGTGCTTCTTTACTCCACATTCAGCATTAAATATGTTCAGCTTTAATACAGAAGAAAGCTATGATCGAATGTAGCTAGATAGATGGGTAGTTTAATGATCCCTAAGGGTCAGTTTAGTAATAGTTTGCCAAAATGAATTTTGCAAACTCAAGGATTTTGCATAAAATATGATATAGCTCTTTTTAACTGTTCTTCACTGTGCTTATAACCTGTTTTAGGCCAGTCTGTATGTTAGGTCAATTATTGACCTGTTTTATAATGATCCATTTGTAAGAATGTGCCATTGTTTGGTATGTGTGCATCTGTGCATGTGTGAGCCCATGCATCATGTCTATGTTTGCATTTGTGCTTAATTAAATATAAGAGTGTATGCTATGCATCCACAACACAGAGGTACGGTGTTACTCATCTGCATAATTGTCTTCATGCATTTCTGATTGTATTTCTCTTTTATATTAATGTTTTCTTCTATTTTCCTAGTTTGCTATATTTAAAAAAAAAAAAAATCTTTTTTATTTTTGCCCGTCAAATGCCATTTTTGTTCATGTGAATTATAGAGATTTCTCAAGTTATGGGGAAAAAACAGTTTTGAAGTCGACCAACTGCATTATGTTGAGTTTTGTAATGTGTTAAGCATTGAGATAAAATGATCAAATAAAAATGTTGAATTTTTTTGAGGGGAAAAAAACTGACAAATAGAGAATCAAGCATGATAATTCCTGCACATGAAAATGAAAAAAAAAAAAAAGAGAGAGAATCGAATGCTTTTGCCTTTATTGTATCTCCATTCATTTTTCATAAAATACTGTAGGCCATTTTGTTATGGTAATCTGTAGATTTTATGCATAATGAAAGATCAAGCATAAAGTGCATACAGAAAATAATTGAATCCATTTTTTTTTTCACATTTTCATATCTCATTTGTCTTTTTAATAAATTGAAGATGCTGCAGCTGTTGTTCCCTATCGATACTTCACTCGTACTACGTCTGCTTAAGACGCTATGGGGAAAACTAGTTTTTCTCAGAATACTGAAGCCTTTCAATAACGCAGTGTAACTGCACGGCCATTGGTTCGTGCAGTGTATTAAAAACGAACCAATGGCGACAAAGCCCGTTAGAATGGGCGGGGCATCTGGCTATATAAGCGGGCACTTCGCCATAGGATCCTCAGATTTCTTCTCCTTCAGCGACGAAGATGTTCTTCGCTGATCTACGAGACTCGAAGCCTCTCGCCGTAGAATCGCCTTCGCAGCGGATCAAGCTGAACCAGCGACCCTCTGCTCGGCTGATTCGCCGCTTCTACGCTGCCTTCAGCGTCGCAGCAGCAGCGGTCCCAGCTGATCCACTGCCGCCATCCGGCGAGCCTAAAAGCTTATTTCTAAGAGGTAAGTTCTAAAAGAGCAAAATTTCTAGCGACGTTGCAAATGTCGCGCTGCGAGTGTGGCTCGTGTAGGGAATCTTGCACGATGCAGAAGAGCAGTGAGTACGTCGCCTGTCTGGGCAGCTCCTTTTCGTTTGCCTTCACTGTACGCTCTTGGCCCCCACTGGGTTTCGAGGCTGTACAATTTATCTTGGAACGATTACTCAGCGCCGGGCCGACCTCTGCGAGTTTGGCCCTATCGCCTCCTGCTGGGCATC